ATTTGTACAATGCTGTATCAGTTTTCAGTCATTGTGGGCACCCAGTGATGCTAAGTTCCACGATTTGTGACATTTGTCTTGACTGCTTGGCGGATATTTTGCACTTCGTTTGAGATTTGTTTTGTGATTTGAATAATTTTGGTTGTACTTACAAATCAACAATAAAATTCATACAAATCCGATGGCTCCTACCAAACACGCAAACGGCAGCGTCACTGTAGGCGGCTTGACAACAATTGGTGATCCTGTCAACGATTCTGCGGCCCAGCAAGCCTTCAGCTATGTACGCGATTTTTGTATGCATGCAACAAATTATCGCAACCAGCAAACTATTGAATCATTGGCGCTACTAAATCGTAGTGCATCACTGCTTAGCACAACTGTGCAGCCACAACTATTTAATCCTGCACAACTGGAGACCTCCAAACTTTTCATAGACTTGCATGCTGTTATGGGTAATTTGGCTACTGATTGCGATGCACTTTGGGCTTGCGTTGCACTTTTGCAACATCTAAGTCGTAATCTGACAGCACGTCGCGCATTGGTAGAGGATTTTCGTTTTGTACCGCTTCTAGCCTTTGTCCTTAAGCGTTCGCATGGACAGGAGAAAGTACAAAAGCTGCTAACACTTATGCAGGATCTAACTTATGGTATACAAATAAGTTGGGAAGAACCATATTTAATAGTGCTACTAGAGCAGCTGGTCAATATCATATATCAAGCGGCAGAGGAAAGTGAGGACGGATTGGCGCAGTTGGCACTATCTGTGCTAATCAATTTATGTTATAAAAATTTCGTAGTAATGTTTCTCTTTTTACGTTCGGTGAATATATCGAATTTTACAAAACGCATTCAAAGCTANCCCTTATTTGCAGCATATAATAGATTTCTTTGTGGACTCTAAGGCGCATACGTGTCTGCATCGCACTATGCTGGATTATAAAAATTACTGCGAAGATGTGGAGCGGCTACTCAACGTATGTAGATAGTTGCATAAACGAATGCTAGATATTAAAATATTATTGCATTAAATTATTATTGGAATTTTAACTTTGCAGTGTCTGGAGTCATGTGGCATCGCTGAGGATGTAGATGAGCAAATATCGAAGCAACAGCACACTTGCTTGAGCTTACTTTTCCGACTGATTCTTTATGTACTGCAATTAAGTACTGTGCCAGGATCTGAGAATAAAGAAA